AGTCCCCAGAGAGTGATCACATTTCAATTACTATCACTAACATTAGTCATTACTGAGGTTGGCTCAGGTCCCCAGGGAAGGCAGCTTGCGATGACAATACCCAGTTTCTCCCTGTAATGCAATTCATTAGGCAAAACAGAACAGCTGGGACAGGCACGTGTGGGTTTGAAGAGGGCCCGCCCCAGTGAGACCTCTTGCTCAAACTCTCTCTTGGTTGGCAAGGGAGAGGATCGTCTTCAATCCCCATGACAGCTGTACCGTCCCCAGGGGACACTCCATGTTTAATCACTGCTCTTTAAGCTCAAGGAAGGCATTTGATTGAGAATTTAAGCTAATGGCACTCCAGCTTGTAGCAGATTATCAGGCATCTGATAAGGACTTGATGACATTTTATCATGTTCTAGCCTACAAAAGTTAATGAGGCACTTAGATATTGTCTTGGATCCCTAGTCTAGTATATTCTATTCCACAGACGGCTTCTTCAAAGCTAAAAAGGGCCAGGAATGCATAACAAAGGAAGCTGTAACTATTTCTGCAGGGTCTTATTTTCTAACATACTATAACATTTCCACTGAGTTGGTAGGGACAAGCTGTGTTATAAAATAACAGTAGGAATGTTGACTTCTAGAACTCTGTGCAAGAAAAGGAAAAAATGTGAAAAATTGAAAGATCTAAAAATATCTCAAGCCTACTGAAGTCAATATGCATAAGCTTAGGCTTATGGCATACATATCTATGTCCTAATAAATCGCCAATTAAAAGTTGTACTCCATAACCAAATCAGACAAGGTAAGTCAATGAAAATGTTTTTGTACTTTGCCTTTGGGTAAGAAAACTGGGAATGGACAAAAAGGTGTGCTAGAAAACACAACTCCCAACCAGTTGTGTATCCTAGCATACATAACAATAGTTCAGAACCAGCATCCAGAAAAAACAGTGCATTGCAGTGGTTATTTCAATAAGGCTTACCTCTGAGATTCAAATCCAGGACTTCCCAAACCAGAAAAACTAAGAGCAGCACATGACGAAATAATAGTAATAAGGAAGAGGCACAGCCTCAGCAGCTGACATGCTATTCCAGGAAGATTTCTTTCTCACAACCTGAGCCAACAAATTCTTTCCCAGTTTCAAAATTTGGAGATTCAGCATCAAATATAAAAGAACCATTACATATGGCTGCTATTATCATGGCACCATAATGCGCTCATGAATATCATTATAAAACAATATCTTAAAACTGAAATTATGATTAAGTACATGGCACATCCATGTTGTTACCTCAAATATCCCATGGTGTAAACTAGCATAGAAGCTACAAAACCGCAAAATACCTTTGATTTTTTTTTTTTGTCAGTAATCCTTATCCTACAATATAAGTAGACACAAAAGCACTATACACTGAATGTTTGGGATATTTAATGTAAATTCACAGAAATTTCTTTGTCCTGATACTGAAATCTTGAGGAACTAATAAAAGTAAAACAACTGTGGCAAAAGAAGTCAAAGATGATATTAATAGTAATAGGTGCCTTGGGTACAATCCCAAAACATCTGGAGCACCACTTGAATACCATCATCGACAAAATCACCACCAGTCAATTGCAAAAGGCAGCTTACATCCTGTAACATCTTTAACAGCATCGAATACCGTAACTTCTGCTATCCCAAGTCCTTGAGAAGGACTCAGTAGGTGGATAAAAATGTCAAACCCAATGCAAATATCTGACTATGCGACCAACCATAATATAATGTTTAGAATGCAATCTTGCTATATTCTATTAAAATTGTAATGAAATAATTGTTTACTATAATATTTACAGTAATTACTATATTTGCAAGTAATGTTACGTATGATTAACATATTTTATATCATTATCAGCCACACTACATTTTCACATGAAACAGCTTTCTGTTTCTCTTGTCTTTCAGATGTAGCTATTCAATTCAATTAATTATTTATTCATTAGCTGACAGTAAGAAGTGGGATGGGAAAACCAACAGTAACTATTATCTAGCTTCAATTTCCACCCCAATCATTGCAAACTAATCTTCTGATATGTTAATACAAACTAAAGTGTGAACGCTACTCTGCCACTAGTAGCAGAGTTCTTCCCCAAGAGAGCCCTGTAAAACAGGACAGTCACTGACAGCAGTACAATTACTGACACAGATACAGACTTTATGGACATGTTTATCTCTGCTGTAAATCCACACTCTCTCTCCACTCCGATTCACAAGTCATAAAGAAATTGCAGATAATGAAAAAGTTGGTGAAATTTACAGCATGTCGGAAACCTCAGACAGCCAAAAGAAATTAAAGAGCTGACTAGATATAAATCACACAGGTACAATTAAAAGTTCCCATACCACCTTCACTTCTAAAAGTGGCATACAATTCAACACAGATGATAAAAAGCTGAGGTCAAGATCCCCAGGCTGAAGGTAGTTAAGAACATTATATACTGAAATTAGCCAATTTAAGTGCCTTGCGCACATCCTAATTTCCAGCTGGCGTTTGAATACAGCTTTGAGGCAAAAATCCTTACCAAAAATATCTCAAGTTTCATATGTGAAATTAACAAAAATTCGCAAATAGAAAGGTAACCGTTTAGTTTCCTCCATAGAATCATACTCCTCTCCTTTTCTTGCTGCTTTCTATGATCTCTCTAATTCTGCTTTAGAGGTCTGTGAGAATCTTTGAAGTAAATATGGATAGTCTGGAGAGCAAGGGAAATAACTCTTACTATTACAGTCAAATCTTTCACTAGTGTTAGAATCATGCCCTTGATTACTTTGCCTTTGCTAGAGAGGAAGTACATAAAATAAAAATATTTCAAGACTGCGCAGACAATTAGGTTTGGGTTTCATTGCTACCTCCAGAAAAATATAATGCAGATAAAGATTGAAAATTTGAAGTTTTTTAATGTATGCATGTAATCAGAAATATTGGAAAATGTTAATATTCTATATAGCTGGAAAGAGTTCATAATAGATCTATAACTGTTACTTTGGAGAACTCCCTCCATCCAGCTATATTACATGATTATAATTACTTTATTAACATGTTAACTATTGGAAGACCTAAAAGAGCAGGTTAGGGAAAGTCAGAGATGGCATATAATCAATCAAACATTAACAGTTTGATGAATGAGTTGTGATGCTACGGAAACATCAAAAATATACATAACATTCTCTTATGCAAGAAAGTATTTCTAAGGTCAAAAGCTTTTACTCAAACATGTACTTGTGTCTTAAAGAATTACATTTATATTTTGGGGAGCTTGCAGATGCATCTTTGTCACTGGATCTTCAGGAACCTTCTATGAAAGAGTACACTTTACCAGCTTAGATAGGATGCTAACCATGGTCTTACCTAGAAACCATAAGCTACTTGGTTTCAGTGACCCATGAATAATAGGAATTGTTTGTTTAGATGATTACAATGTATTATCTATAGAAGTGACAAAATATGACCGCTACAAAATTAATTACTATATTGGTAATAGTTTATTATCTTCACTGGCTCCGAATTCATTTCTAAATGTACTGATAGCTAGAAACAGCTTTTGAAAGCAGCATTAAGCATTTTAGAAGATATGACTACTTTAACAATTCAAGGAAGAGTATGTTACTCATTACAATGTGTTTTGTGAAGTGTGCCTTCTGAAAGCCTTGCACAATTGTATCAGACTCTATTTAAATGTCCTTCTTTGTGAACATAGAGGAAGGTTTACAATTGTGATGCCTCTGAGATGCTCTCTCGGGAATCTTAGGAACGGAAGACTATTCTCTTGGATTACCAACATCAATACACAATAAGCAGGATTATTTTGTAGCAGGAAAGAAAATGTAGTAACAGGTTTATTAGAGGAAATATTAATAAAAGGTATTATAAATGTACAGCTGGAACTAAATGAAGAACCAGTTAGGTTTCAAAGGACTAATTCTGAAATCTAAATTTTAACAAATTACAAAAAATTATTCTTAATTTGCATAACTTCCAATAAAGGATAACAATTCTCAGTAAAAGTTTCCTATGAGAACAGAGGACGATTAATAAAAAAGTAACAAATATAACACAATTTAACTTATTACATTTTACCAATTCATCTTATCTTAAATTTGTTAAGAAGTTCAATGGGAGTTTCCAAATCTTTAACAGCTACAAATGTATTCCCCAATATCATGGTTCTAATCAGCTATCTGCTGCCACCTAGAGGCTATGTAAGATCTATTTTGCTATCCCTTGGATCTTTTGAACAGTTATTTCACAGTCTTACAATCAGTAAGGTAGTATTTAATCTTGAATAACAAGAATAAATGTGAAGGGTACTAAGCTACACTTCTGCCATGTTTCAGTTTGAGCAGTTCCATTTGTATTACATTAATTAATTACACAGCAGACAAATATTGCTAGCATGTTTTCCACTAAAATGCATTAAACACTTAGGGCTGTACGTAGATATATTCTTCTAATGCTGCAGCAAGTACATTAATTTTTGATAGTAATAATAAACATTCTGACTTTAATGTAAATATATTTAGGAATGGAATCTAAAAAGGCTGCTGCTCAGTTCATAAAATATTATGTAATCCAGGAATGATATCTATGCTGTCAACAAAATGGTGTTTGTTTTAGTCTTTTCAGGAATGAATATAGTACTGAATTGCTAGAAATGAAGATCACATTGGCATATAGCAATCTACTTTATTGAATGCCTTTTGGATTTTGTGGATTACAAATTGCAGGAATTCCAAACTACCATAGGGCACCAAGGGGTTGGAGGAACAGGTATTAACTTATTTATATAACAAAATTTTATACAATCATTTGAAAGCAAATAGCTACTCCCATTTTTAGGAAGAGAATAGGAAAGACTTTATAAACTAATGGTACCTAATTCCTATAGTTAATTAGTATGAACATATTGAACATACATAAACATGACAATTTCCTGCAATAATCCCACTGTACTTTTAAATATCTGTACAACACTTACATTCATCCAGTCCCAACTGATATGCCAAGTTCTGTAAACCTCTAACCTTTTCCATCAGATTAGCTGTAGTGAGACTTCCCAGCTCTAAAAGAAAGAGTGTGTAGATTACAAACATTTGTCATTAAATAATAATGAATGTGATCACCTTTTGTGAACTTCTGACAAGCAAAGTCAATGGGGAAGCCAGATTCACTTAACTGTCTTATTAGTTTAACTGCAGTGATTCACTTAACAACTGTAACAAGAAAGGGGGTAAAATGGGGAAAAACTCACTTAAGAATTGTCTCACTTGGCAACAAAAATTTTGGGCTTAGTTGTGGTCGTAAGTCAAGGACTACCTATAATAATAACCAAACAGAAAATAAAGGCAATTTGATATAATAATTGTATACATTCTGCATATAATGAAATCCACTATTTTTAGAGGAGACACCAGTTCTGCATCTGGTTTCACACAGAAAGAGACTATATCTGTAAGAGCTATGGTGGTGCCGTGGTTAAATGCAGTATTGCAGGCTAACTCTGCCAACTGTCAGCAGTTCGATCATGATCAGCTCAAGGTTGATTCAGCCTTCCATCCTTGATAAAATGAGGAACAAAATTGTTGGGGGCAATATGCTGGTTTTGTAAACAACTTAGAGAGGGCTGTAAAGCACTGTGAAGCAGTATATAAGTCTAAGTGCTATTGTCATTGCTATTCTATGTAACACATGAGTAACTATCTGATAGTAAGGAAAATATATATTGTAATTATCATCTGGACAACCTGGAAGATATAAACAGATGATGTTAGTTTTTTCCGCATATTGTTATTATGCTTACAATAAAGCAAGACATGACTGGCTGTTTTGCCTCTAAACTCCATGGACATTTTTCACTTTGTTCTATTACTTTTGATATTGAGTCAATGGATTTGAAGTTTCCTGATAGGAAAATTTATTAAATTGCCCTCCAACCAGCCAGATGGCATTCCATTAGAAAGGCTATGACAGGAAACTGCTATAATTAGGCAATTCCAAGATAGTGAAGTATCGAATATACTTGTGGATAAGCAGAGAATTGTGTCCAATATGCCCCCAAAATTGGGTTCATTTTATCCACAGATGGTCTTATCTGCAAGTATATATGGTAAAGTAGTTATTAAGGTACTCATACCCTTTATATACTCATATATATATATTCATCCACAGGTAAGCCTAACCTTGAATTATTAACTAAAATACCATACAAAGTGGACACTGTAGCTAAGCCAATTGGGAAAATCAAAACATGAAAATTTCAAGGATTGGTTTATCTGATATTGTAGTTATTCAATTCCATATTACTATTTAATCACTGAGACCAGCAGCTATTAATTCATATGGTTCAGTAATTCTACGTGTCTTGTAACTTGGTTTTTAAGAGTCACACTAGCTTGTCCATATTTCATAGATTACAAGAGCTCTGCAGAAAGACATCAATTTGTTCAGTAATACTGATGCTTCTCTGGGATTGTTAAGGAGACCAGATTCAACAAACAAGAATTTAACTTTAGCCAAAACTTATAAATTGTCAGCCAAGCTTGATTTTCCCCATCCTATGAAGCTCAGACTGCATTTGGTGCACATCTGAGAACTGGGAATATAGTTATCAAATATGTGCCAACATGGCCCAAGTTTCACAGAGTAAATGTGCCAAAGACTCAGCAACAAATAATTTTATGGCAGCAATAATAATGTTTCCCTTATCAAGCAGAAAAATATCAGGATTGCAGCAGTGTATCTGCACAGTCCGCACATGTTGCATTTAAGCTTTCCTGAAACTAAACTCTCACCCTCCAGTCTCAATTCCCTTTAATCGCTTAATCTATTAAATTTACTTTATGCCTGGAAAGAGGGCGTCAAAATCTATAAGTTACTTACTTTGATGAGTGACTGGCAGGCTGAGAGGAAAAGAAACTCCCAGGGGTTTGATTTAAAAAAATAGGAAGAAAATAAAAGAAGCAAAGAAAATCCTTCTGATGGTTGTTTGTGTGGAGAGGAAAATACTCTCAGGACTCAGCACAAGCAACAAATAGCCATGGTAGAAGCTGGGTTCTGAAGGGAGTCATAGAAACAGCAATTTTGGAAAGCGCTGAAAGCGTTAATCTCAAATTAAACTCATTTACCTCCAAAGTCTATACTTAAAAAGTGTCATAATTACTGGACCTAATAATTATGTTGATTTCTTCATTATATGGTAGACTCAAAATGAAAGATAAGAAACTTCAACGGATTGTTATATGACAATAAAATCTAATATTAACCATATATATAATACAAAATGATTTTTATCAAGCACTGAGGAGAAACTCACCTCTCAACATATCAATATCATCATTTTCTAATTCAGCCATCCATTTAGGTGGGGAACTGGTGATGGGCTATTAAGAACAAGCATTCATAAACAAATTATCTATTTTAGAAATGTTTAAAAATTTATAATAACTAATTGAAATGCAGAACTATAACATTTTGCAAAATTCTACTGTGATTAAATAAAAGATTTCTAAAACAGATTACTATATCTACTAGAACAATTCTTTTCAAAGAAACAAAGTAGACTATTTTTTTAAAGCCAATATCATCCTACTGGAGTAAAATCTTGCTTGTTACTTGGATGAGGAAAAAATATAGTTAGAAAACATAGCAAGAAAACAAAAAAAAAAGTAATCCCAGTGATTTTCTAGGCATTTATAATTCTTCAATTTTCTACTTTATCTGTTTTTTATTGTGATAAGTTCTATTTTCTATAGAATTTTAGGACAAAAATGTCTACATCAAATATCAATTCTTGCACTTAGATTTTTCTTACTGATCAATACTTACACTTTTAAAAGAAGCTGCAAATTCAGCAACACCTGGTACTGGAGGCAAGATAGATAATGCATTTGAATTTTTTTGAAATAATTGTTTATACAACTTTAAAGGCAATTACAATTTCACTGAATTAAACCGCTACATTATAATTCAGTACATATGTTACTTTTATCTTATTTTATGCTCAATTTTTTCCTGAGGTAAGCTATTAAACTATGTTTCTATAATATTGGCATGCTATGATTAGTGACTATTTATATGATACTTTTTTATTATCTACAAGCCATCATGTCATGCCTTTTTAAAAAATAAAATAAACTTTTTAAAAAAATAAAAACTAGCACTTACAGCTAACCCTATATCTTTATTTTACAACATTCGGCATCATTATTTCTGGGTAAAATGTGCACAAGCTCAACAGAATTTACTTCTGAAATAAATTATGCAAGATTACCTTCTTGAACTCTTTTAAATCTCTGCCTATGAATAAACACACTCAAATTTAAGCATGTTAAAAGCAATCTTTTAATAGGACAGCTATTAGATAGAATATTAGATAGAATCATCAGTGTAAACAAACACCATTTAAATGCCATATGTGGCTTATCATAGTAAAAACTCATACAAGAATCTTCTTGGATGAGAAGTGAAACATCTTGAAAGAAAAACAAGAAAGTCCAGTTGCCTCCTGAAAAAGCACCTTTGGGACAAATTTATTATGTTTAAATGTAAATTAAATAAGAAAAAATATAATCATGAATAAAGGTGAATATATGTGTCCCAGGATAATTTTGTAGGATCCAATCTGGGTCGATTATTGGAACCAGAGGTTTCGTCGTCTGAGCTTTTGGACTCAGAAAACTGCTGGAGCCCATCTAAGGGAACTTCTGTATATACTTAGTAGAAAATGTAATTTTTATTCTAGCTCTACATAATTTTTGAATAACCTTGGCATGATTCTCAAACTGATATTTATGTTTTTAAAAGGCTATGTAACCCTAAACTAGATTATCCATACAATGTTACAGAATATTGAGTATATTTCTTGAATATATTTTTTAATGTTGTCCTACGAGCTAGTCAAAATTTTTAGAAACTTTTAGCTATATCTCAAAAAGAGTCTTTTCCCATATCTTAGGAAATCTGTATTTTATTAATCCTTACAATAGCATCTTACTAGAAATAATTATTTAGATGTAGAGTCTAAAGTTGGTTCACAATAGAGTAATCCACAATGATTTACTTCTTATTCAATTACTACTTACATTGCTCTGGCCACAAGTCTGGAGATGCCCTGTCCAACTTTTCAAAGCTCAGCAATGAGGCTTCCAAATCTGAACCTAGAATTATATCAATGAACATATGTAAAAGCCAAAATAAATCAATATAGTTGCACCATTTTAGACTAATGTGTAACGTTTACCTGTGGAGTTCAAAATCTCTTAAGATGTAGCTTGGAACATGAAAAAGAAATAATTTGCCTCTCAAACTGCAATATTTCAATGACACTAGATTAATTGTGTGACACAATTACCCCTTTTCCTGACCAGAAATAATGTCATAATCCTCCCTACCTCCCCCCAAAAGATTGTTGTTTTACACATGCATCTCAACAGTGGCAGTCCTAAACTGGACCCTGACTCACAACAAACAATTACAAATTGCTCCATAACACCCAGGATATGTCAATATTACACCTTTGTGGGCTGTCCCCAGTTTAAGAACCATTAGCTTAGGTCTTCTCACTGCTGATCCACTCTTCTTTGAACTTGCAGAATAATACACCAGCATTGCCAATTCCTAAGCTCTCTCACTACCTTTGTTCCCAGTTACTGCAGTCAATTTTGCCCCCCTGAAAGCTATCCTTGGATAATGTCAGAATAAAGAGGAAAACAAGACTTTATCACTGTATAATATAGATAACTTAAACCTGTTTTTTTTTTAATCAGCTGAAGAAAAGAGTAAAGCAACATCATGGGACAGAAAAATGGAAGAGCACATTTATACCAAAGTTTGGTGTCACTATCAGTAAATAATTTCTGCTAGTATAGTCCAGGTAAAGAGCCTTTTTCTTCTGTGGCTCCCACCTTCTGGAATATTCTCCCACTGGAGGTAAAATCCACCCTTACATTCCAGGCCTTCCAAAAGAGTCTGAAAATTTGGCTCTGCTGCTTGACCCCACAGGGGCTTGCTACATTGCAGTGACTGACTGGGTGAAGAAGATCCCCACCACCACTTATCATTTTGGTTTTTAGTTTTTTTATTTCTTCTAATTTTAATCCTACAGTAGAACTGGTGGTGGTATTCGACCGGTTATGGTGAGCCGGTAGCAGTGATGAACAGCAGAGACCGAACCGATTCTCTCCGCCACTCTGCTGTTGGGCCTGGGCTCGCATACTCGCTTTTATCTGCTGAATTTGAAGCGCAGCTGCTTTGCACGGCACAGAATGCCGCGTGGCAGCTGCTGAAGCAACCAGGATCGTGCAGGTGGCGAGTTAGAATGCCTCTTGTGCCTGCACAAATGCCTCTGCGCCTGTGCAAATTGTGTTTGGCGCACGCATGCACACAAAGTGTGTGCACATGTGCAAAGCGTGCCCACCAAGCCACAGCCACCTTACCGGTGGCAAAAGTATTTGAATCCCGAGTAGAACCTTTTTTTAAAAAACTTTTTATCACATTGTAAGTTGCCTAGAGTCACTATTGGTGAAATGGGTACATTTAAATTTAATAAATGCTTACTATGCCTAGCAGCCACATCATAGATTCCAAAAATCCAACAGGATTCCCTCCCGCCCCCCAAAAAACTTCTTTTATTAAGAAACAGCAAGATTTCTACAATCAAAACTACACTACAGCACCACAGCTCATCTGCTCAAAGCTGAACTATCACAATCTTCCCTGGCCTGTTAGGCTTCCAGCATACAAGAACTGCCATTGGGAGGGCAAGTGGGAAAAGTCTGATTTACTCCAGGGTGATGGCGTTCACTTTATTTTCCACTGTTGGCACTTTGTGACACAAAACACAAGCCAACCATCATTCCTCAGGTCATTGTAGAGATTACTAAGAACCTGGTCAGACCAACTAGAGATCTACTTTAAATTCTAATAGTCGTTTTAACAACTATTTGTTTCCAACGATGAGCTTCCGTCATGTAAGATTCTAAGCATATTAGTTCAGAAGCCAAATCTAATGATACC